ATAATCTAAATAGCGCCTCAACCATTATTGTGTCTATCGTATCTCAGCTGGCTTGATGAGCTCTGGTACTGACGAAAGGCCTCATCGGCACTGGATATAACAGATATACTGTGTTTGACTTATTTTTTATACATTTTTCACTACTTTCATTCATAAGTTCTTAGAAATAAAAACTGAATGGCATGGGAAAAATTTTCCTTATTCTTTGAATATTTCAGAATAAATTTAAATATATATATATATATATTGTTGTGCTTTTGTAATGGCTTCCAATATGAAACAGATTAAAGAAAGAGTAATCCTATTCGACCTTTATACTAAACGATAATATGAAATATATCAGCTATATCTTTTTCATTTCAGTATGCTATTCTTATGCTCTGTCTTTAAAAAAATTCAAAGAACACAAAATATAAACGTGTACCAAGTTCTTTAAATAGTTATATTTCTATACATCCAATCAATTCGTCGTTTAGAGTAAATAAAATATCAAAAGAAAAGGGTTCTCCAACACTGCAGTTTGTACAAACCGATCTGAAGGTTACAAGAATAGCTTGTGGGATGATTAAACAAAGGAAGGCGTGTCTGGACAAAAGATTAACGTTCAAGAGAATTTCGCCACCTGTCATGAGAGAGGGGGTTACACTTGTCACCGCGTAATTGTACAGATGTTATATGGTAGCGCATAGAGTCCATGCAGTAATAACCAATAAGAAATGTGCCCGAGGACAACTGATGGAATTCTTTCGTCCAAAATCTGGTAGCCACACTTCGCTGAGCCTACTTGCCAAATGTTACCAGTAGCAGATACACGAGAAACCCGAAGGGCACAGTCGTGCCACGTGCACCTGCTGTTTCTACAGACTGGCTACCAATGTGGGGTATATACTAGAACATTCGCTTTGCTATAATAATAATAGCAATAATAATATTTAAGAGTTAAAAAAAATACTGTGTGGACGTTTATTGATGAAATTTCAGCACAAAGTTGCATGTTTCAGTTTCGAGCAAAATATACGATAGAATACAAAACTTTAATTTTTAAACATAAAAAAACGTGATTTCTTTATCACTAAGAGCCTTACTCTTAAATATATAGAGATGTTTGTCTAGGGCGTAAAAGTGTCACCAGTTACCGCTTACATCTGTTTCAAAATAAAAAGTGTAACTTTCTTTTGGTTATTCAAGCTCTATTTATCTTATATATTTAATCTGATACAACAACATCTCCCAAGCCAGAAATAAACATTTTGATTGCAGTCTACGATCTTGCATTGTCACTGAGTTTTGACACGTGCTTTTCTAGAAGTCTTTACAAAGGATTAACGGCAACGCAACTTTCTTCGAAACTGTTTGAAGTTTTCAATTTGAAAACAAAACAAAAACAAACTAGATGTACTTTCGCAGGATCCCCGAAAGTGTTCTGTTTCAAGAGTAAATAAAACCAAAATTAAAAGTAACAAATATTTTTATTTCTTGGTTTTGAAGTTCTTATGTCATGCTGTGTTGTAGCCTACAGAGTGCATAATTATTCTCGTGATTCATGGCATGCGCATGCTTTACTGACGTCACGATAGTATAAATTGTCGCGTTAAGCGTCCTTTATGTGAGGCATTTTAGTGCCTACTGACTGACTGACAGACAGAGAACAGGCTTCGGCCCCCTTTCGGGAAAATTATTAACAAATGGCTAGGTCATCAACCTAATGACTATGAAGATGTGATATATTGTTCTGCAATTTGCATACAGGTACAATTTGTTCAAAATCTTATGTTAGATTGGTATACAGAGCGGGTGAAAATAATTAGACAAACCATCCCTAATCTTTGGATAGTTCGAAACGAATCTAGCTTTTTATAAGTAGATGAGGGTCATACACAGTTTCACCCATTAGTCCCCTCCTCTAGCCCTGTATCTACTGCACTCCATGTATAAGAAAAGAGTTGATTATGGGACAGGGTAATGGAATAATCTGTAGAGTAAGTTTGAAGAATTTTTACTGTCTAGTTTGACCTGTAGCTAATTAACTATTTCAGTTTTAATATTTTTTTATGAAGATTTTACACTTTTAGCTCTAAAAATCTCCATCACCTGATGCTACAATTTTAATCCTCTGTAGCATCTTTAACTCTTTTTGTTTTAGTTTATTAGCTCAAATTCTTATTTTGTCTCTCCATCTTTTGTCTTCCGTTTTGCATCCTTCCGTGCTACCATCCGGGTACTGTCCTTCCGTTTTGAGATCAAGACGCAGCGCTGTAACAATCAGAGCGTTTGTTTGATTGACTGAATATGTATAAAAAATTAATTCAGAATATACATACATTTGAAACTAAAAACATCTTGATTAATTATTAAAACTTTTAATTACATTTTCAATTTATTTATCTAATTGATAAAAGTTATTTTTTATGACAGATAAATATATCTTTAGGTTTGCATAAGATAATCGAGAAAATGTATATATATACACTTTAAGCTGATAGTAGTCAAAAATTTTCAGGGCGTGGTGTGTCCTGTTAGCGTACCGGGCTGTTGATCGTAAGTCCTTAGTTCGTGCCGCACTTTAAGGTCTTGGTGAGTTATAAGAATGGCAGTTAATATTATTATTCAGTTCAAGGCTGGACAAAGTCCTTGATACTGCAGGTGCTCCTAGCTGGCTGCTTTCATTCTGGTCAGTAGTTCAAAGTTAGCTGTATCTGAACCTTATAGGTCTCTAACCAGGTTTTTTAGCCCACGTTTCTCATAAGGCGCTGTTCAGGTTGAAAAATACCAAAAATCAATACCATAGTAAATCTTTAATGAGTTAGTGCCTGATAATTAGTCTTACTTGTGGATATACAAATTTTGGTAGGTAAAAAAAAAGGTGTGAGATTTGATAAAATCAATAAACAGAAATAAAGTAGAATAAAAACAATAACATTTCGAAAACTTTGTTACAATAATTGCATAGAGTATTGGGTTCTATACCTATTCCATATTAATTTATATAACCATATGATATTGACCAATCTCATAATTTTTTGACTTCTATGTTTCCTTAAGTAACTGATAGTTTATTTATGAAACAATTTGGCATGTCACAAATAATTTTCTCCGCACATAATTACCGTCAGGTCAGATCATGACGTTAATAGCTTTGGTTTCGGTATGAAGTTGACCTTTTCTTCTATAGCTTTAACTGGCAGTTTGCGAATAGCTTGGCTTGCCGAGTGGTTATGGCGATTGAGTTGCAATAAGAGGAAATTGAGAGGCGTAGCCAAGGGAACGCTGACCCCCTGAAAAATCTAGGTATGTTGATCAGATTTTATTTTTCAGCTTTTATATATAATAAACACGTTTTGTATCATGTAATTAAAAATAAATATAATTTCTATAAATACTATTATATTTGATTTCACTTGTTTTAATGCCCATTTTATTGAAAATTTAGATAAATTTCAGCTTTTTGATTTATTGGTCCCCTTAAAATTTTCTGCCTAAGAGTGGCCTAAGAGTTGGCGGTGGGTGGTGTTGACTAGCTGCTTTCCCTCTAGTCTATCACTCTTAACTTAGGGACGGCTAGCACAGATAGCCCTCGTGTAGCTTTGCACAAAATTCAAAACAAACAAACAGTAATGTTGATATAGTATATATTTATACTAATATGTTATGGTTACATTCTTAAAGAAATAATTTTATTTTTAAAACTAGCCGCAACCCGTAAAACATTTGCGGCAGTTTCATGCCCTTCGCTTGAATCTTCCTTATTCTATCATTTTCACGCACGCCATTTAAGCTACGCTTTCTTGCAGGAATTATGTGTTAGTTCAATAAATCCTGGTCTATTTAAAAAAAAAAAAAACTTATGCGGCCAGACAAACAAATTTACGTAGGCATAACTTTATTCATTAAAACTACACGTAAAGTAATGGTATTTATGATAGTGTACATAGTATGAAACAGTTATGTGCGTTCATTGTATGAACTAGTTTTACGTGTTGAAATAAACTCACTAAAACAAAGAATAAAACCCGTAGTAAAGAAAGAAGTCGTTAAATGGTGTTTATAGCAGTCTATGAAACGAACCTATGCTGAATTATTGCAAAGAAAGAAAATGTAAAGTTGTAATAAAGGCAAACTTAGCTGATTATACATAAACGTCTGAATGCGTGTTCACAAAGTGATAAACATATGGTTTTGAATGAACTGTACATACGTATTTTAGACCTAAATAAGTCGAGAAAGCTCATAGAAATTGTATTTAGTGTAATGCTAATTTTTTTAGGACATTACACGCTGGTTAAGTGTTATTTGTGTTAAATACTTTGCAAATAAAAAACTCAAATTGAAATCAAAGCCTGTCGTCACGTGATGACAACGACATTGTGCTATCGTGTAGCATACTCATTGCATTAAAAAGTTTGACTAAGCAAAAAACAGGTAAGATGATTCTGAATAGAAAAAAACAATATGCAATCTGGACTCCTCGGACAAAGGCCTTTCTAACAATATGAGATTTGTAGCGTTTGATCGAGAAATTTGCGAGAAACGTTTCGGACAGACAAACGCAAGCGTATTATTTATATATAAACTATACTATAAAACGAAGACGGGCTCGTATGTTTTTACCCAAAATCTCTCATATTTCAAATTATGTAGAGAAAACGAATCATCTCATTAAAGGTCTTAGATACCTATTTTTAGTTTCGAATATTTTAATTAATAGCATTGCTTAAAATATACTGTTTATTGATCATTAAACAACATCATAATGAATCTATTTCTTCGAGAATAAGACGCACATTAAGCTATTTGTTCTAAAACCAAGTTATATGACCTCAATAATTATAGATGATGTAATTTTTTTGTAAAATTTTTTAGACATTCTATATTTAGTACCATAAGCCTAATATCTCCATTTGTATTGTAGCGTGATTTTGATTAAATTAATATAAACGTTAGATTTTTTTTGTCATGCCGCTTCAACAGGTATAATATAATAATCGCAAAATTGTATGCAGGAAACATACCCAAGCAGAAAATCCAGAAAAAAAAGAAGAAAAGAAAGTGAACACTTTATGATTTATGAAGTATCAGGATTATTTCGGAGACGTTCCGAGGCCTTTAATGCATAAGCCTGTCTGATGTCCTTTCAGTAAGTTAATTATAATATCTCTGGATTTACTTAAGAGTGTAAATTACGATAAAAAAATCAGACTAAATGTAAGACAACAACAACAAATAAACAACAGACTTAAGCCAAAAGTTAAGAAAAAACACAGATGATTGAATTGCTTGCTCACCAGGAATTATCATTAACTGCATAAAAGAGTAAGTAAATGAGCCGTTGGACAGAGCATACCAAAGCCTCGTTATTTAGTGTAGCAAATTATGCTAAGATTTCCATACTTTAAATTGAATAGGCTGTTTAATTTGTTTGTCACGTCCTCAAGTTTACATTATATATGTAGTTGCTTGCCTAGTGGTCTGAATGGTATGTTTTTTAAAAATATAATAAAAATTAATCTCTATTTTTAGTTATGTAAACAGGAACGTTTCGTGAATAACCAATTAAAGGTTTTTTTTTGTTTAACCCTTAGAAACCAGACTACACCTGAACAACTAACTACACTTGTTCGCGCAGTAATATTGTACTGGGTGCCAGGTTATTGTGGTACTTACCTTTTGGCTGAATTCAACCAAAAAAGATAAACTAGATAAACCTAGAATTTTCTCTAACCAACCGTACGTTGAAAATTTATTGAACTCATCTAAATTTCTATTTGAATGTACAATTTTATTTCAGATTTCTTTATTCAGCAATTTTGAAAACAATTGTATAATGCATAGAAAACTTTAATTAAATTGTGTAGATCTTAATTTTCAATGTCAGATATCTCTTTGGAAGTATAAATAATGACTTTTTTTGTTTATACGGGTTTCGACGCTTTGAATTGATCTTAAATTATGCCGCATCTTGGCTACATTATAAGTTATAAGAAAATTATCTTGCTAATATGTTATTTGCATTTATGTTTTGTTGTTGTTACTTAATGACTTCAGTAGTTACAGCATTTTCTGTGAGTTTATTTACTGAATGTGTGCAGGAACCGCATCTTTGTATATAAGTTATATTTGCCTTTAGTGACGAACTTTTTACTGTCTATAAGGCCCCCAGTAACACAGCGGTTTGTCTGCAGACTTACAACGCTAGAAACCGGGTTTCGATACCTGTGGTGGGCAGAGCACAGATTACCCATTGTGCAGCTTTGTTCTTAACTTCAAACAAACAAATACTGGATGTAGGCAAATTATCTAACCATAGACGCATTATTCTTTAATAAGAAACTCAAGGTTCGATTCTATCAAAATAGTGTTGTTTTTATTTGAGACTTACTGTCTTTATACAGGTAAATTCATCATTATTTGTGACTTGTTTTGAATATTCAAAAATGTTGTGACATTTTGAAAATTCGACTGTATTCACGATTGGAACAAACGAATAACTTCAGTGAATTAAGGAGGAAAAACTTCATATATTACTATTAGGAACTAGAAGAACCTTATTTATATATATTTTCGAATTTGAAATTGTATTTTATTTATATTTTAAAACGTGTATTTGACTTTATATAAAACAAACTGTTCACAAGAAAAGAAAAAACGAAAGGAGAAATACATACACACACACACACACACACATATATATATATATATCAAACCTACAATTTCCTAAATCCTCAACTTTTATTAACAGAGAGAAATAAATATTTCAAATAGAATTATCTCAGTAATGTCACACATAAATGACTAAACAAAGAAAAGTTAAAGCAAATACTCACTGGGTTTGTTTCATTCCAGTTCCTATAAACAGAAAGAATGCGTTTAGATAAACACAGCAACAGATACATTACTAACGCTGTGAATTTCGTTAGATCGGTAGGGAAGAACGAGAAGAAAGTTTTAAGTTCCAACAAGAATTTTCAACCTTTACATCCACCTTATTTGTACGTTGGCTAAACTTTCAAGATTCAATTTCAACCGCTCAAAATTTTAAAGTATTGATCAGAGAGCAGGCTGCCAGTCAAAGTTATCCACTACCATAAAAATTTTGTCTATTTCTTTGAACCGGATAACGCGACTGATTGTCACTTATATAACGCGCCCACAGCTAAAAGTGCAGAATGTGTTCAGCTGCATCACATCTCAAACCTTAGACCCTCAGATCCGCAGCCCGACACTCTAACTATTAGACTACGCTCGACAATTTTATAAGTATTAAGATAGCTTCGATATTACTAGACTCTTATATCGTTTAGAAAATAATAAAACAAATCGCGAAATAAATCATTTATTTACAGAATCAGGCACAATTTATAAAGATTTGCCTTAAGCAGAAAACCTTTGTTTCAGTTGTCTCTTTAACTGTGTCTTTAGTTTGTTCCGCTGCCATTTTCTAGGAACTCGAATGACCGGTAGTCTTAAAAAAACATAGCGATATCGGTTCTCTAAGTAGATTCCCTTTCTGTTCTGTTTAAGTTTTTTACTTTTGCCAAGTGACGAATCAAAGCTGCTAAACGTATTTCTAACATACAACTTCTGTAGGTGATTTTGCGGTTGCCTAATAAAACGACTGTTATTTCAATGCCCAAAGTTGCTAAACGTATTTCTAACATACAACTTCTGTAGGTGATTTTGCGGTTGCCTAATAAAACGACTGTTATTTCAATGCCCAAAGTTGCTAAACGTATTTCTAACATACAACTTCTGTAGGTGATTTTGCGGTTGCCTAATAAAACGACTGTTCTTTCAATGCCCAAAGTTGAAAATGACTTAAAGAAATGCCTACAAGACTTATAACTTACCATTTCCATTGAGAACATGATTATTAAAGTTTTGTATCCAGTTCAAAACAAGAATGAGCCTGCCAAAACATATTGATTAATAAAGGGTACGACGATCAGCCGAAAGGCAAGTAATTCAATGATTTTACACTGTCAGAATTTCTCTATTAAAAAAAAGAGCTTCGCAATATGATTCGTCTGTTACTATATTTTGTACGTTGCGGCTCATAGACCTACTCGTCATACTTCGAGCACTTAAATCAATATTTGTTTCTGACACGAACACACGTGCAGCATACATTAAAAACAACTACAATGATAACTATCGTTGACGCTGTGGTCTGTTGATCCGCTCCAGGACCAAAAAAAAGACTAGCTTATTGGTTCTCTATTCTTCCTAATGATGTGTTATGTAAATTAACGTTGAATAAATAAATTAATAATCAACAATTTAGTATTCAAATAAGTAAATAATTTGATTTTAATAAAAATCATAAACCCAATTCTGATGTGTAATAACTTAAATATTAATTGTAATAATTACGGTTCACTAACTTAATCTAATTCACACAAAGAACGTTGTTGTTGAAGTAATATATAATAACGTTCCGATCACTACTGTATCTTTCATATCTCAGCCGGCCTGATCAGCGCTGGTATTGAACTGAAGGCCTCGTTAGCACTGGATGTAGTAGACATAGAGTGGTTGAAATATTATTTCATTCTTATTTACTTAACTCATAACTGCACCCCGGTGAGTCAGCAGTACATTTGCAGACTTATAACGCTAAAATATGGGGTTCTATTCCCCACGGTCGACAGAGAGCAGATAGCCTATTCTTTTGCTTCGTAATGAAAATTATCATTAACAACAAACACTCATAGTTTGTTTTAATGATCAGACACACACTTTAGTAAATTACTAAAGTTATGTTTCTTACTTATATGAAAGAAAGCTGTTGTAAAATTCTGTAAAATTGTATATTGTTGAAATTATTTAACGCATAAGGTCACATTTTGTTTTCGGAAATTTTCTTACACGATTGTATGGTGAAAACTATGTTTTTGTTGTTGTTATTTTGATAAATTTTATTGGCTTTGTAGAACATGATATAATTTATTGTTACATATTTTTGTATGCTTATTCGCTGTTGTTGCTTGTTATATTGTGCCGTTTTCTTTCCTTTTGTTGTGTATTCTCTTGCGTTGCGGAATGAAACGTGAAGCAAGAATAAGGAGCTCGATTTCCGATGAGCCCCTTTTTAGATATTTGGAGTGGATTTGACACTTTTACTACAGCTTCAAGTTTTGTAATTAGCTTCACAGATTTGTGTAACAGTCATGTTTTATTTTGTTTTATTTCTTCTACAAAATGATCCGAATATTTCAACCACTATATGCACCTCTTTATATTGCATCCAACAGTACAATCGGCTTCTCCTCTTTTCTGATTTATATAACACCACTAGTTACTGTCTTGAATATAAAACAAAAAGTTTTTATTTGAATTCCGAAAACAATTATTATTTAAACTTCATTCTGGTTCCAAAGATGTACGGTACGTGCCGACCGTACGCTTTAGCACGAAACCCAAGACTTTGCATAATAAGATGTACTTATATATGCAGTGCATGGAGACTTAATTGTTTATTGTACAACTCCCACGTTCCGTATTTTGAAGAATACTTAGAACTAAAAGTCTGTTTTGTTATCTATATTTTAAAATTCTTTCCTTTTCAGGCAGCGGTTTAACAGTACATTGACTCTCGGTATGTGCATTTCTTCCTCTACAGGGGACTGTTCCAAACTAATGGGTGACTCACTACTTCCTCCTCAGTGGCATTTAGACGCGTTATTGGCCTTGGGAGGCAGAATACTCTTCATCCCACGTGTTATTAATGAACATTGTGCATTTCCTCTGATCCACAGATGTAATTGGTATAGCTCAATAAATGTGTAATTCTAAGAACTTATGAGGGAAAGTAAAGAAGAATGTATAACAATATGTCAACCACGCTATATCTGTTATATCTAGTGCCTGCGAAGCCTATAAGTAAGACATTCTACAACATGGCGGTTATTGTTCCGGAGTCTAATATCTTCAAGCCTTAACTATTTGACTAAACTCAATATGTATTTGAATTCTAGTCTTATCATCTCTGTTTAGTAATATATATATTTGGTAACTGACGTAGACTTGACCCTAGTATTTTTCTTGTGACTTGTGAGATACCCGTATCTTGATATTATCGTGTACTCTAGTCTTTCTTCTTGTAATACTTATCCGATAATTATTCTAAACGTGACTCTTATACCAATCCATCTGTCTAGTAAGATATATTTTTTGTAGTTGTAGATATCTATAATCGTTTAGATAAATCCATAATTTTACTTCTTCTCCCTAGTAGGGTGTAATTTTTAATTGTTGTAGATTTGATCCTAATCTTACTTCTTTTGTTTAGTAATGTGTAATTGTTGTAGATATGTTCCTAATCTTACTTCTTTTGTTTAGTAATGTGTAATTGTTGTAGATATGTTCCTAATCTTACTTCTTTTGTTTAGTAATGTGTAATTGTTGTAGACATGTTCCTAATCTTACTTCTTTTGTTTAGTAATGTGTAATTGTTGTAGATGTGTTCCCAATCTTACTTCTTTTGTTTAGTAATGTGTAATTGTTGTAGATATGTTCCTAATCTTACTTCTGTCTAGTAAGATGCATCTGACTATTGTTGTAGATTAGGCGCTGGTGTGTACATATTTAATCTAATAGGATGTTTATTGTAATTATTATAGATATAGTCCTATCCATTTTACTATAATTAGTAAATTGCATCTTGTAATTATTGTAGATATGGTCTTATCCTATTTATTATAGTTAGTAAAATACATCTTGTAATTATTATAGATATAGTCCTATCCATTTTACTATAATTAGTAAAATACATCTTGTAATTATTGTAGATATGGTCTTATCCTATTTATTATAGTTAGTAAAATATACTTGTAATTATTATAGATATAGTCCTATCCATTTTACTATAATTAGTAAAATATACTTGTAATTATTATAGATATAGTCCTATCCATTTTACTATAATTAGTAAAATATACTTGTAATTATTATAGATATGGTCCTATCCATTTTACTATAATTAGTAAAATATACTTGTAATTATTATAGATATGGTCCTATCCATTTTACTATAATTAGTAAATTACATCTCGTATTTATGATTATTATAGATGAGGTCCTATTTTCCCTCTATACTAATAAAACATATCTTGAACTTGTAGATTTTAATGACTCTGTATTTTAATTTCGAAGATGCTAATCACTGCTTTTTAATTTGACAATCGTCCTATACATATTGAAGGTTAAGTATGTAACATGTACACAGATCTGTTTTCATATTTATTGTTTGGATTTTTATGTTTTATATATGAAACAGGTAAGGAATAAAATTAATCTAATATTCAGATTTTTATGTTTTACTTTATTAAAAGTAGTGTAACCAGCTTACAATTACTGTAGATTGTATTGTAACGTTAAATCTCTTGACTATTAATATTCATCTCGTAACTATTTTAAACATTTCCTATGAACCAAGCAATTCAAAAAAGAATGTTAGCCACTAATATAAAGAGTTAAATACACTTTGAGGTTTGTAATGACTATATTTTTCCGTCAACAATATGTTATAATAAGTTTAATGAGTAGTATTTTGAGATAGTTTATCAGAATGTAAAATAATATATTATTCTTAATATTGAGTTAAAATTTTTATATATTCTTTTATCTATTTCAAGTGTAATCTAATCTCTGAATTAAATGGAGTTAATGTGGTACATGTATTTACGAACTTACAAATGGTTACTTAACTTAAGGGTGATCTCACAACCGCCAGTAAGGAGGATGACATAAAAGTTTATGTTGTTGTACTGAAAAAACAGGGAATCATTTAATGCATCTTATATTTAGTACAGTTAATAGTGATATACATAAGGGAAGAGAATAGCAGTAGTTGAGTTGGCTGTATTTTACTCACCCACTGCCTTCTTTAGGTTCGCAGTGACTCCAGAAATTCACCAAAGCAAAGATTCCTGCATGATATTTTGTTTTTGAAAATCTCCATCTGTGGCCTGTAATCTGGTATCCTGGTTTCCTCCCAAGCAGTTTCCTGGTGGTCTTCCTGTGACTGTGACGCTCCAACTGATTTTAATGGTTTGTCTTCAAGAAAAATCATAATGCGTTTGGTTTTGTTTGCTTCTTTGTTGTTAATTGCAATGCTACATGTTGGACTATCTGTGCTGTGCCCACCACGAGTGTATAAACCATGTTTTTAGTATTAAAAGCTTTCAGTCTTATAGCTGAGCCACTGGGGGACAGGCCCCCAGTAACAACTAGTTGCTGTGCTTTTGAGCGATGTATTTAAATGAATTCTATGAATTCTGTTACAAAAAAAAAGTTTAGTTTATAATACTTTAAATCTCCAAATCCTTATTTATTACTTTATATTCCAAAGGACTCAGGAATTTGTTTTTTAAAAACAAGTATTTTTAACTGTTTTTATTACTGCCTTTTTTTGTTCATATACATTATTTATATTATGCAGATTTACTTGTTCCATTGCCTGCTTTTTATATCATTTCTTACAGCTCTAACCATAATTCTTTATTACACGCTTACTAATGTGAACATCCGCCAGGTAGGCTACCGAGTTATTTGCCGTCTTTTTAGTAATATCTACAACTATGGTATTTTTCACTTGCATTCCTGACTTATAACTGGATGGAAATATGTGGTTGTAGTTGAGAAGGACTTTGTGTTATGTTACACCAGGAAAAATTAAATTATGGAAAAAAGTTCAATCTTTTGATATCCTGACATAAAAAGTCACGTGATAGCGTATAAAGTTAACACTTAAATCTGAAAAAAGTTGTTCATTATTCACCGAAATCTTAACAAAAAAGCTGAAGAAAATAACTTTTCACCAGTTATGGTATAGATGGATTTAGAACTCTTTTATGCACAGTATATTCAACGTGAAATCTTTAAACGCTTCCTTATTATTAATTATTTTAACTTATTTTATTTTTTGCATCCGAAACTTTTGATAAGATTAGAAAACTCTAGAGCCGGACGTGGCCAAGTGATTATATAGTGTGTTCAGACTGTGAATTTGATGATTCGTGCATGGGCGCCCACAGAAATATTTTCAGGGGGAGGAAAAAACCTCACAATATCCTAAAACAAATATAAAGATCTTTAGTGATTTTTGCCTTTTGAAACAGTCGTAAACATCGGCAATTTAGCGCCAATAAAACACGACTAGCTTGAAGAACACAACAAAAACAAGTAGAAGCGGACCGAGTTAAAAAAGAGAGAGGGGGACGGCCTTGGTTTCATCATGTTTGTGCGTGTGTGCGATCATGACCTTGTACAAGGTCAAATATTTCAGATGAATGGATGCCTAATCTCATCGTCACTTGACTATGCTCTTAATACAGTCATTCCATAGTCAAATCTCTTGCGTTAGGAACAAGTGTTACAAATGTAGGTTTTTTACAAAGAAAGTTCTGTAATTAAAATGAATGTTCTATACAAATTGTTTAGTTATGTAAAACATCTCTTAGTTGAAACTAGAATTCCCAAAACTGTGGTTGTATATTGGTTAATGGAAATAAATTTCTAGTTTTAATCAATGGTATCTATCTTATCTGAGGGTCTAACTTGTGTGTATCATAAGGTTCGCGGAAATTATCTTTGTAATTTTAAAACTTAACCAATACGTACCCACATCTGTGAATTTTGCTTAAATAAAAGACCCCAATGGATCAGCGCTAAGTTTACGAACTTATAGTTCAGAGGCTCGATCCCCCTGGTTGGCAGAGCGCAGATAGGCTATTGTGTTGTTACGCGTCATAACACACACATAAACGAAAAAAATTTAAATAAAAATGGCCAAAAAAGTAAAATAAACAACATCAACAATACCTAAATAATATCAGGGTGTCTACTTGATCAATATTGTGGTTGTTTAACCTTTGACACTTTTTTGTCATGACTCTTCTAACACATTTCTCCATAACAACAATAATCCTATGAAAAAACAACCAAAAGCTTCAAAGAGCGAGAATTTCATAACTTTGATCAGATTTACAGACTGTTTTCAGCGGAGTTACGTGATAATTTTGATCAGATTTACACACTGTTTTCAGCTGAGTTACATCATAATTTTGATCAGATTTACACACTGTTTTCAGCTGAGTTACGTCATCATTTTGATCAGATTTACACACTGTTTTCAGCTGAGTTACATCATAATTTTGATCAGATTTACACACTGTTTTCAGCTGAGTTACATCATAATTTTGATCAGATTTACACACTGTTTTCAGCTGAGTTACGTCATCATTTTGATCAGATTTACACACTATTTTCAGCTGAGTTACAAAGAGACAGAGTCTTTCTCATAGAATGGACAATATATATAAATATATTCTTTGGAATTTTTTTAACACAGAAAAACTCTTTTTATTAAGTATACATAAAAGGAAGTCGCTGAAGTTCAAATTGTGTTGACATCAATTAAAATTATACATATACAATTATCCTTATAGGCAATGTATAAAAATTATCTAAAGTACAGAGTGTTCTAAGATTATGTTAACTGATTTATTAACTTTTATTTCTGAATGTGTTCAATCTTCGAGCTCGTGTCACGCTGTCGTGATATTCCCGCGTACTGTAACGTAATGAAAGTTTAGAAGCCATTGTAACAAAAACGCAAAGACTGTATCCCTAAGATACAAGTAAACAATTTTGTTCTCATAATGTAGGTACTTACTATTTTGTTTTAACGCAAATCCGCACAATAGACTACCTGCGCTGTGTTTGGTGCGGGAATCTAGCCTCGTATTCTAGCATTATAAACCTTCAAGGTTACCGCTGAATCCATCGTATTATAGAGAAGAGGGCAAAAGCAGATATATTTTTTTTCTTCAAAAGTCTTACAAAGCATAAAAGAAAACTATACTTCCGGTAAGGCACTTGCTTTACTAAGTGACAGGTTTTAATATTCTGTTCATTACATGGCATCTATTTTAAAAACTACTTATTTGTACACGGAAGTTACACAGAACTAAATACGCGCAGCGAAAAAAGCGTTTTATTAGACTTGCAGTGAAAGACTAGTGGGAAATAAATACATGGTTCATACGAAGTGCATATTTCTGCAAGACATAATGTCTGTTAAGAATATATATATATTTGTTTTAATTTCGCCCAAAGCTACATGAGGGCTAGCCGTCCCTAATTTAGCAGTGTAAGACTAGAGGGAAGGCAGCTATTCATCATCACCCACCGCCAACTCTTGGGCTACTCTTTTACCAACGAATAGTGGGATTGACCGTCACATTATAACGCCCCCACGGCTGAAAGGGCGAGCATGTTTGGTGTGACGGGGATTCGAACCCGCGACTCGTAGATTGCGAATCGAGCGCCTTAACCACCTGGCCATGTAAGAATATATAACAGCTTCAAGACAAAACAAACTGATGTCGTTTATTCAACACTAAAAGTAAATTATTTAAAACTACAATGTTTCATGTTATTTACACGTGTACCAGCTTGAAATCGATCTGATTTTTATGTAAAAGAAAAACGGAAATGAAAACTAAACCATTTAAAGAAATTTTAGAAATAAGTTAAAACTGTATCCATGAAGTGTCAGGCCGTGTTAGAGAATTAAATTAAAAACTGTAATCCTAAAATATCTGATTAATATACATTTAAAATCCAATTATAATTTCACAACGTATATATTAAGATCTAAATGTGGTCACAGAAATGATGTTAAAGGCAACAAATCTAATTGTAAATCGAAATAAGATAATGTGGTATTAAGTTAGAAAACTAAAATCTATGTCCGTTCTGAATTCCCCCCCCCCCCCCAGTGGCACAGCGGACTTACAACGCTAGAAACCAGGGCAGAGCACAGATAGCACATTGTGTAGCTTTGTGCTTGATTACAAACAATCAACGATCAAACCGATCTGAATTAAAAAATCTAGTTATGAATTCAGAATAGCTATTATGCAAGCCATTAAGAAACTCTATTATTTACATGTCTTGCAATATAAAGTGTCAACCTAAACATGGCTATCATAAAAATATAATCGAAATATATTCGAGAATGGAATCCTGACATATATACTCAGTGTATATTATGGATCTAAATATGATTACAGAAACGTTGTTATAGAGCTAAGGCTTTAAAAGCTGGAATCCTGTCATGTCTATTCGATATAGATGATAATTCAATGTATATGAGAAACTGGCCAATCCATTCCTTTCCAACCGTCGTGTCTAGAAAACGTTGCATCTTAAAAATAACTGTGGAGGTAGTTGCATTTTTTTTTTCTTCCTTTTGAAATTCCGACTGTACAGACAGAATATGATATATATATATTGTCAGGAGGTATATAGTAAAATATGCACGTGACAAGCCGTCATAAAAACTATCTATGATAGGTCATCTTGAATATCTTATAAGTCATTACACTTTATGATTGGTTCAATTATGATTTATACTACACCGTATGACATATAAATGAGCACATAATTTATCCGGATTTCTCATTCATGTATGTTATATATTTCAGTGCGTTATTTATGCGTATACCTTCATCTATATATATATACAGTTGTTGAGATTTGTTTGCATTTCAACTCAATAAAGCTAATGCATTCAGTGATAAAAATTGAACGAGAGTTTCCTGCAATCGAAATTGAATTTGTAAGTACTGCTGCTATTTATGTATATCATGTGATTAAATAACGAATTTGTCTGCGAGAGATAAATGTGACAAGTTTTTTATGTGAACAAGCAAAATTTATTTATATATACATATATTTGTGTGTATATATATATATATATACATATGAATTATATATACGTTACTAACAAGCTTCCATTATATACAAAATGTTTGGCAGTTATTCTTTCCTCTAGTTATTTAACTTACAATAGAGTTTCATAGATTTTAAATGCTTTTAGAAGCTGTTAAACTCTGAAAGAAAATAAAGCCAAAACAATATAAACGCTTTAGAACAAACTTTCATATTTGTTACATATAACGCCGATAAACGTTTAAAACATGATACCTCTTTCATAGCACACGAAGACAATAATTTAAGAAACAATATACG